AATCTTAATTGCTTTACATACATTAAATTAATCGTGACTGATAGCTTATTTTTTCACTAAAAGCAATCGCTTTAAGTGTTGGTTGAAATGTGGCCAAAAAAAATGCTAAATGCAAGCGCAAAGTTGGGCCTATTAGAAAGTTAAAAGTTTTGAACAAAACAAGTTTGTCATTAAGCTTGTTTTGGGGTTGTATGAATGAGGACTATTCTGTTATTTAAATCGAGCTATTGATGGCCATCCATGTTCATCAAGTAGTTTAATAGTTTGTAGACTGCTGCCCATCTGCATTTTACTTACTAAGATATTTCAACAATGATTGTTCTTTGTTCATAGTAAAAAGATGGACTTTTCAGACTCTGAGTCTGAGAATGAGATGATGTCGGGGGATGGGTAACAAATATCTGCATTTTAACAATATAAATTTTAGCTGCCCCCCATCTGTATTAAATATTATAGGCTTATAGAATGTTGTAATGTCATCTGAAACCCAGCAATATGCCAAGATCAAACAAGTTATTATCTTGAGTCTAAAAATGGAAAATTTAAGAAAAAGGAGGTTCCATGATGTGTTATTTTGTGTAGACTACAAAGGCCATGTTCTCAAAAAGTAAACCCTATACTCACAACCCTTTAAGTATATTGTATTTAGCATCCATCGCTCCACGTTACTGCCACACTTCAGAGTCCCGTCTCTCAAAGTCCCGGACGTCTCTTCTAATGAACATTATCTGTGTGTCCTAAAAGCAGAGAGAGCAGCGGAGGGAGGGCAAATCCAATAAGAGCACTTAGAGCTGACTCTGGGCTCTGCTAGAACAATGTGGAAAAACAGGGTGAAAACTGGCAATATGCTATTAACTGCTGTCCTGTGCGAGTGCGGTTTGGTGAAAAAGACAAAATACAGCATAGAGCAGGGCTGTCAAACTCAAATTCACATAGGGCCGAAATTAAAAACTGGGACTAAGTCGTGGGCCAAGCTAAATATTTATTGAAAAATTTCAACATCTGCATGTTTTCTCTTCTTTCAAGATATGTAATGTTAAACCTTTTCTTTAAAATTAAAATAAATGTTTAATAGTAATAGTAATAGTAATAATACTTTTGGTAAAACATTGGATCCAGAACAAGTATAATATAAAACAATAACAAATTTAAAATAAATAATGTCTCTATAGCCTATCTGTAGCCAGCGGGATAGCTCTAATACTTATTTGATATGATCTCGTGGGCCAAATATAATTATATTGCAGGCCAAATTTGGCCCCTGGGCTTGAGTTTGACATGTAGCTCAAATTTCACAGAATACGGTTTACTCCTCATTGTGCTATATTAGGCACATTTATTTTGGCCTATGTATAGACTTAAAGAACATATGATGCTTTTTTGTATTTAGTATTAAACCATAACATAGACTACATCATGTGACCTCATGTGTTTTTAATACAGTAAGTGCAGAGCAAGAGGCGGATCAAATTAAAAACATTTTACAAATTGCAGTTTTCTCCTCTATTTTGTCCAGCAAAGACCTGGTTGTGAAACGCATCTTATCTGTGTTGAAATTCTGCTTTGGTAAGTTTATTTGTTGTTTAAGTTTGTTTTATGTTAACACTCTCTCATCTTCACCTGCCTCCACTTGCCACAAGTGCTGCCTCCCGACCATACAGCCAAACACAGTGTCTAATTCTCTACTGCATAAATATAATCATAAATTCACTTGGGAACATTACTGCTTCGAAATGACAGCCCAAGATGAATTTTTCTATTCAAGATTAGTTGTGTATGGCATGAACACTTTTCAACATACATCTTTATCAGCTTCTTATCTTGCTATGCTGTGCCTCCATCATAGCCTTCAGCTTTTGTTCTTCCCCTCCAGTCAGTTTAAGAAATGTTCCATTGGTTTGACTGCTCACATTTTCTTCTTCCCTCTATCTTCTGTCTTAAGTTTTCTCTTTTAATTATCTTCCATTTCTGAATAAAGAAATGCCTACATTAATATAGGCTGCTATTAGACGGTACCTTCAAGGTCAAATGTTATTTGCACAAAAGACAAGGCAATGGGATCAAAATAAAATAATAAAAATAAAAATGCATTAAATTGCTTGTGCTATGGGGTGGTGTGGACATGCATGACTGCTTCCCTTTTACAGTATGGGCCCCCTCTGCACATAAAGCCTCTGGTGTCATCTTTACTGCAGTTTTTCTTTAAAATGGCTCAGAATCTGGTCTCAACCCCATGCACAATGTCTTGCAGAATAAATATGACAAAACAACAATGAGTCTAAGTGAAAGTCAAATGTTAAGAAGGACTACTAACAGTAAGCTATAGATATTGCATAATGTACATTTCTTAGTTACTTGTCTAATCAAACAACAGCCACCCAGTCATATAGTTTTAGGCTTGGTAAAGACAAACTTCAAACCACTGATACCAATTTCCATGCACAGTTCTATATGGTTACAGTCCAAAAGAATAAATTTAAGTAAACAGTTACTTGATACTGGAGATCAGAAGAAAATTATGATTTAAAAATAACAAAAAGGAAACACAAACTTTTATCACTTTACAATAAAGGGCTCATACATGATGGCAGTCATTCATAAGACCTCCTGTTGCTAATGTCAATGTCCTTTTGTGTTATTTTAAGTGTCTATTCAAGCAGAAAGTGAGAGGCGACTTTACATGTCACATACATTTCCATATGGCCTCACATAAATGCTCATGAATAATAATGACTCCATGAAGCTCCAAGGACTCTTCACAGAACAATCACGCAGGCAGTTGACTATAAGAGTTTCTATTCCTTATAGTAATATATATATATTTTTTTAATGCAGATGAGATTTGATGACCTTATACCTTCACCTCAGAAACACAAATATGTGTATTTCATGTGCACAGAGCTAGAACACAAGAGGAACATCCCAGAGGGGACAGCACATATGGATGTATTAGCATTGATGACAGATTATGATTATGTTTTAGGTCAGCAAGCTTTCTTTTCAGAAAATATATTTATTATAACTTAAATAAACATTTTCAGTGGGGAGATGAAGTTCTCAAAACCTTTAACTGTTCACCTCAGACACACATTAAATAAACAAAACTACAAATATAAAAACATTTTTCTTCAAAATTTTAATAAAACATTGAGAAACACAAACATATCACATGAACATTGAAATGTACAGTAAACATCCACGTTTTCTATTACCTCAGGGTTCTAATGCATTTTTGCTCTGAAGGTAGGGTACTCTCTGCAAAAGGAGAATTTGACCCTAGGCAATGGCCAAACTAAACTGGTTGACCAAGGACACATATGTTCTTCTCTTTCACCCCATATAAAATAGCAGATTAGAGCCTAAATCAGACCAGAAAAATTACACAGCATTACTAAAACAATTTGGAGAAAAAACAGTGAGTGGTAAAGAACACTGAATTCTCAGCCTTTAGTTCAGCTTTTAATCAAATGTAAGAAAAATAAATAAAAAATTCAAAATGTCTATAAGAAATGCATTGACTTTTCTAAATGAATGAATGAAAAAATAGATTGGGTAGATAAATAGATAAAGGGGTTTTGTTTTCGGCTTTAGGCCCATATTGAATAGATACATTATACATTTGTCCCTTTGTTACATAAGCACTCCTCACTCAAACTAAGAGAAGGAGGCAGAAAAAAGGCCCCTGGGATCCCCTGGTATCCCTACAGTATACAGTGTGTACAGTGTATCATATACATGTGGTGTTCCCTCCCCTTGAGCATGCCTGTCCTCCTCGGCTCAGTATGTCAATGCAGAGGGCTTGTGGTGGTGCGGGGGGTCCCAGAGTGCTGCTCAGGCCACTTTCTCTCTCTCTTTGTTTGTCACGCCTCAGACCGCTCTGTGACAGTGATGGACCCTGACAGCTCAGAGCATGATGACACAGCTTCAACAGCCAGCATGACACAGAAGGGAAATCCCCCGAAAATAAATATTACACAAGGAGCAGCTCAGCTGACACAAGAAGGCAGTTCAAGAAAACAGACACATGGTGACACACACTCAGAACATTAAAGGTGCACCATGTAACCTTTTCAGGGGGGCTTTGCCTGAAATGTTCTGTGCTATGACATTGAGTATATCTATCTTGCATTTATTCTATTACAGGTGCTTCAATTGCTATTAAAATATGCATTCTTCCTGTGAGCAGGGTCGCCTCTACAGATCTGACCTGTAATTTTGTTCTAGTGGTGTCACCAGCTTGTCACCGTGGGCATAAATCAGTCTAATGCCTTAAACAATTAGACTACAACAAATGTTACTCTTCCATTGCTTCATAGACAGAAGCAGTTTTATTATATATAGTATAGTATATAGTATAGCCTACTGCAAAGATAGCATCCGCAACAACTATGAAGGAGAGGTACACAAGTGAACAAAAACACTGTTTACTAAGGCTCCAAACAAATGTAGGTACAGACGGGAAATAAAATGTAATGCAAAGAAATATACATCTAATTTGATCAAAGAAAAACACTGATGAAAAAGCTACCTACCACTTATGATTGTCAGATGTGTCTTACTCTGATTTGATACTGAAGATATCATTTGCTTTAGTGACTTGGTGTTCTTAAAGATTTAAAAAATATACTATTATATGATATTATATAGGGAAAATATTCCCACTGTTGCCAAAAAGTAAATACTGACCGAGTGCATTTGGGGATACAGTAGTGTAAGGATAGCTTTTGGTGACAGCACCTAGTGGTAAACCTCCGCCAGTACAGCTCACTGTGATCGACTACTTCCTCTAGTGGTAAATTTCAGCCAGTCCAACTCATTGGGCTCGACTGCTTTCTCTGGTGGTAAACTGCATTCAGAATAAGTCACTTTTCAATAGCGTCTTACTCAAACTGTGACTAATCTGTGCTTCATCATTTCACTTTAATAAAAGGGGATTTCCCAGCAGTTACGGGGTTGGGACAAGGTTCAAACTGGACACAATAGGCACATTTTTAGAAAAAAAAGTTCTTAACAAGCCTTTTATTTGGTATACAGATCATAGATTTTTAACAGTATATTAATAGATATTGTATACATGTAACACATGTGCCACTGCAAAAAACACAGACAAAATTAGTTTTGCTAAGAACCCACAAGAAAAGTATATAATGTGCTTATTAGTTGCGTGAAGCACGTTAAATGAATAGGGACCGTAACAGGAATGATGAGGTAACTGTCAGGTATAGGAAAACAATCATTCATCACTAAATGTTGCTAATGATATTAATAACTATAATTAATCATAATAATGGCAACATGGACCCTTACTGGCAAAATGAAGGAAAGTTTCACTCGATATCTGACATACAGTGCATACAAACAGGAAGTAAAGCCAGAGCACAAACTCCGACAACAAACTCAGGCATGCTCCAAAACACCTCACAACCTGACCATGACCTCATGCGTACACACAGTCACACATACAATCAGTACCACAGCCCTGTGTCAGAGGATGTCCATTCAGAGCTCCACAGTAGTGTGCATGCACATGCGCACACAGCACTGCTAACAGTGAGGAGAGTGGTGGTAGTTTACACACAAAATGTGACCATTCTGACCAAATCAGATGTGTCCTTTACAGACAAATACATAAGTAAATATAAGTAACAATGAAAAAGAAAAGTGCTGGACAAAATGAATGAGTGTGATGTGAATGTGCACTCATGTCGAAGGATCAGTAACGGGCAGTGCTGAAGGACAAAGACAAGTGTCTGGCTCCCTCTAGTGGTCACTCTGAGTCCCGCTGTACTTCTGAGGCATCAGCTCGACAAATGGGACACGTCCTGTTAGCCTGGTGACAAGGAAAAAAAACGTTATACAATATATAAGATCACAAAACCCCATAGCAGAGCTTTTTAATAAGAAATACATTTTACACAACAATATAACCAAATAGGCTTACTTAAAAATCTCATGAATTTAGTTTTTTATTCATTAACATCCAATTTTTTGAATGTCAACTTGGGGACTCTCTTGTGGCTAATGCTATAATTGAACCACTTGTCAGTCACTCCACAATTTATGTGATTAAGGAGTGTTTTATTAAATCATAGTCAATTTTCTTAAATGCTTACTCTCAGCCACTTGTCCACACACTTTCCATGAAATTCATGGCTGCAGGGCAGAACTCGCAGCAACTGGCGGGACTCAAAGTCACTCATGCACACCACACACCTGCAACAAAAGGAGGGCAGTATTTCAAATAGACAAGCCCTGGTTCATGGCTGAGATAATGCACCACAGGACAATACTAACAGTGTTTGTTCAGACTGATGGTTATTGGGATTGAACCGGTAAGAAGGAAGCTGTTCGATGTCTCCCTTGGTCAGCCCACGAAGTTTAGCTTCTCCCAGGCGCTCTGCAAGGTTCAACAGGGCCTAAAGAACACCAGTGGTCAATGTTTGCATTTAAATGTATTATTAGTTAAGGTAAACAAAAAACACCTCATAGTTCTCCACTTCTCCATCATCAACATCCAGCTCTAGGCTAATTGCGGGGCCTGTTGGCTGGACTGGCAGCATTGAACTAAAAAAAAAGTACATTAAATAGTTTTACTTAATAAAATAATAAAATACTGATTTTTTACAAAAAATTACATACAGAAAGTAAGGCAGAAGGCTGGGGTGGTAAGGCGAAGGTGGCAGTGGCTGTTGAGAACGATAACGTCGACCTGGGATTCGCCGTTGTATGAAATTGGGATAGGACTAGATGGAGTAAAAAAAAGGCAGCACTCTTAAGTCATTACAAAATGCAAACTTGCATAGTGATCAGAAAATTTTATAAATCTCACCACGCCAAAGAACTCCTGTGGAAGAGGGTCATGGGACAGGAAGTGTAGCTGGGTAGAGTGTGGCGTCAGGGCTGGGTGTGTGGCCGGAGGGTAGTGGAGACCAGCCCCCAGTGATAAATGTTCTCCAAGCAACTCCACATCATTCTCTATTCTCTGTAATGGCTGTAAGTGGGACATTTTCAACAGTCAGCCAAAAATTTAATTTTAAGTACTTTTTTTTTTTTTTTTTTTTTAAATCAATCAGTCAATAGCACTTACAGATCGAGCCTGTTGTGTAGGGTATGGCCCAAATTGTCCTGGCTGGGGCAGATGCGTTGCATGGTGGGACAAATGAGCTGAAGGGTGGGGTAGGTGAGGGTGAGGAGGAGGGAGGAGGAAGGTTGGGTCACTGGACAGCAAAGATGGGAATGGGTAGGGCATGGGTAAATGTTGCACTGAACAGGTTTGAAGGACCTAGAATAAAGTACATTTGGTTAAATCAATGCAGTGCTATATAAACCCCCCTTACACACTTACAGGAGGAGGGACACTGCAGACTGGGTAATGCTGTCCGCTGAAGACCACGGAGCAGGCTGGGATCTGTTGTGGGGCAGACCGAGGCGGCAGGCCTGGTGGCGCCCCCGGAGGAGACACCGGATATGATCCTGTGACTGATCCCTGAGTATGAACAACACAGGCAAAAGTCCACACATTATTCAGAAAGCAGCTTCTGTTATTCGGGGAAACAGTGCACCTATTCAGATTTGGCATGACAACTTTCAATTTTCAATGTTAAATTTTAAATCAAGACTATACAGCCCAGATTGCAATATGACACAGACATTATTATTATTATTATTATTATTATTATTATTATTATTATTATTATGTATTTTTGAAAGCTAGGATAAGGTTTACTACCATTTAAATTTCAATCCAATCCACTTAAGCAGAATGTGTGCTCCACAAGTGCTAAAACAGTAGACTGGCAATCACCACATAACATTTATATATGCTCACCATCTCTTTTCAGTATGTGTAAAAGGACATATAGTAAAGGCTGTTTAATGTCAGCTTGAAGTGACATCATTGAGTGAGGCAGAAGAGATTCATTTCACACAATTTTTCTGTTTTCTCAATCATGGATCCCATGAAAGGCTTATGAAACTCACCTGTTCATGGAGGTCCAGGACCACACTGCTCTGCTGTTGAGATGGGTGTGGATGTGGGTGGGGGTGCAGCAGTCTGGGGGAGATGTTGGGAGACTGGTGCAGTGGTCTGGGGGAAGGGTTGGGAGGATGGTACCCTGGCCGTTCATCTGGGCCGGGCCCTCGAGGTGGCTGCTGGCTGTAGGGAGGGTAACCTGGAGGAGCAGCTGGGTGGCGGTAGTTCTCATCTTGATGCCCAGAGGAGGGGCCATGATGGGGGTGCAGGTGGTGGTGGCCATTATTGTTGTAATGATGGTGATTGTTGTGGCCGTGATGGTGGTGTCGAGTCAGGCGATCCCTTCGACCACGCTGACGCCTCATAGGAGGGCTACCAAAAAAAGGCATTGGGAAGAAAAACTGTTAAAGTGGTTATGTATTTTTAATTAATGTATTGTTTTTCTCTTCAAAAATGTGATCCAAAAATTACTTCATAAAGAAAAAAATTACTACTATGAAATTTGTTATCAAATAAAACAAATGTGTGCATCAAGAGCAATGGTCAGATTGAAATAGTTTCAAGAAGTTAATATTGATATATTGTACATGATAAATATTCAGCAGTAGCAAAGTATTTATAGTGACATGACACCATGGTGTGTTTGTGTGAATGTGTACCTGCGGCGGTTGCGGACTGGCGTGTGGCAGCGCTCGGGCATGTAGTGAGGATGAGGTCTGCGACTGTGAGGCAGCTCCCAGGGGCGCATGGGGGAGGAGGGCGTGGAGGGCGGGCCAGAGCTGAGGTCCAACATGGACTGCTGAGAGAGACGCTGCCTTTTGGGGCTTGGGCTATCATCCATCTATTCATCCAAATGATTGTTCAGCGAAAAACAACAGAAAGACAAGAACCATTTAGTCTGAGTGAACCTAACCAGGCAAGGCCATAGTCTTCGTATTTCATACTTACTTTGTCCCGATCCTCACCAAACACATTATCTGGATGAAAATGTAACACTCCTCCTGGAGGCCACAGAGGGAAGAAGCATAATCAGATAAGATAGGGCTAGTACAACATCACAACAGCATCACAAGACACATGGACAGATGCTCACTAAACCAACAGAAACTCTACACCACCCCTGTGCAGCTGCCCGCCTTTGATTTATTTTTTGATAGTAAAATTCTAAACTGACGCCAGACTTACTATCAGCCCTGGTCTAAGCAATTTTATATTGAGGCAAACCCAACTGTACGATCAAATATATGATTAAATATAATCCACAGTGTGTAATTTTGTTTCTTTATACACCTAGTCATAATTTATTCCAGGTTTAGGCCACTTTCTGTTTTAGTCTTTTTCAAGTACTGTATTACGTGAAAAGCCAAAAGTTTGAAAATGGCGCAATAAATCAAATCATGACTAAGATTGTTCTCTCATCTGTTTTTCACAGAGGCCACATGTGTAATCTGCATTCAACATGTGCACTTGACAATACGGTCTATGAAAAATGACCTTGAACTCTATCAACTTTTTTACAGTCCCCCAAACTCTATTCAACAAAAACAGGGCACAACTTTTGCAAGCATCTTTGTGTTGTGCATCTGTTGTGTGCCCATTTTGACTTGCCTGAAAGAGAGATCAGAAAGCTATTCCATTCCTTTTTCTTGTCTTTGCAACGCCACTCCACAGCCATGCGAAGGCTGCTGATAGTGACAGCTCAAAGACGCCCTGCCAGTGGCTTTGCAGAACAGAGGGGAGACGGTGAAGTGACTAGCCAACAGCAGTCAGCATACAGAAAAATACTCATTTACCACAAATTAAGCCATAACTATATGACACCAACTAACCCATTCTTGGATGCTCTTGCCAATTTACACCCGAGGTTAGAGAACTGATTGTGTGGGCAGACAGAATCACAGACGAACCACATTTTTTTATCACCAATATCAACAACTAACTGATTTTGTCATCCTAGAGGTTTAAATATTCTTGTCTTGTAGTTCTTGTGTTTTAATATGAATAACAAATTATTTTTTTCCCGTTTCTCATGCAAAGATTGATATTTTGTCATTACATATTTTATATAAAATGTTACTTAATACCAGAGGTGGAAAACTATAGATGGAAACACATGTCTTTCCATAAAACACAATAACAATAACACACAATGTGTTATTCAAAGTATTTAAGTAATTGTCTCCATATACAAAAAAAGAAATAAGCCCAGCATGTATTATTTACATATATATGGCGTTGCAATAATTCTATGCTAGGTAATATTTTCTCTGCTTTTGTAGTATGCAAAACCTTCAGAAGGGGTTTGCTAAAAAGAAAGTAGGCCTACATATCCAGTTCTAGCTGTTGACAACACCAGAACAGAAGGTGTCCAACAGAAGGTGAGCTGCAAGGGTCTGCCTCTGTCTTCCCAAGGCTATATCTTGTACGACTGTATGGTCTTGTTCAGTGATGCTCGCTCACCTGCTCCGGGTGATGTCTGTGGGGTCCATGAGCTGAGTGGCGCGGTGCTCCTGATGACAGGTAGCCCCCCTGTGTGTGCTGCAGGCTTTCCGGGTGACTGCGACCACCATGGTGATGAGACGCCCAGCCGGGGTTGGTCTGCTGCGGGTAGTTCAGTCCTCCTCCGCTGGCGCTCATTAGCCCATTCCCAGCAGAGTTCCCACCGCTGTTCACTCCTCCGTTCAAACCGAAGTGATAGAAGCCTGAGCGGGAACGAGACCGAGTCCTAGGGGGGTCCATGGTCGGGAACAGGGCGGAGGCGCGGGGAGGTGATCTGGGAAGATGAGCCTTC